AAATTTTAAATATTTGAATATTTTATCTAAAGATCAGCTGTTGAATGGAATTCCTAATGAGTTTGAATCTGAATTTATGAAATGTAAGATTTGTATTGAAAGTAAAATGCATAATATTCCGTTTGTAAACAGTAGAAAAAAAGCTAAAGATATTTTAGAGATTGTACATACTGATGTTTGTGGGCCTTTTCGAACTACTGGGTTTAAAGGTGAAAATTATTTTGTTTCTTTCATTGATGATTATAGTAAGATTTCTAAAGTATATGCTATAAAATCAAAAGCAGAAGTATGTGATTGTTTGAATGAATATACGAATGAAAGTGAAAATTTGACTGGAAAGAAAATAAAGATTTTAAGATGTGATAATGGGAAAGAATATTTGAACAGTAAAGTCTACAGATTTGCAAAAGAAAGGGGTATAGTAATTGATAATTGTCCTACATATGTACATGAATTGAATGGGACTGCAGAACGGTTTAATCGAACTATAATGGATATGTCAAGATGTTTGTTGGCTGAAGCAGATATTCATAAAAAATATTGGCCTGAAATAGTTTGTGCTGCGGTTTATTTGAAAAATCGTACTTTATCTGATACAATTGAAAAGAAAACTCCATATGAAATATTTTTTGGACAGAAACCTGATGTTTCTAATTTGCGTTTGTATGGAAGTAAAGTTTTTGTACGAAGACCAGAACAGAAGAGAATCTCTAAATGGGATAAGAAAGCTGATATGGGAATTTTAATTGGTTATAGTAATGTTGGTTATCGTGTATTATTAAATGGCAGAGTCATTGTTGCTAGACACGTGGATATTGTTGAAGAAAACGTTAAGTGTATAGGTTTAGACTTTAACGAATCAGATAATGATAATAATGAAGAGTGTTACCCTGATAAAATTGATGAAAGCTCTGAAAATGACTCAATAGATGAAACTTTTGAAAGTACAAATGAAAGTATGGATGATAGTGTGAATAAAAATGAACCTGAGTTACCTAGATCTCACAGAGCCAAAAATCCTCCAAAGAAATTTGATGACTACTATGTATATAATAGTAGTATTTTTGTAAATATGTGTAGAACTGATATACCACATACATTTGAGGAGGCGATAAATTCTAATGAAAGTAAGTATTGGAAAACAGCTATGGACAAAGAAATTGATAGTTTAAATAAAAGTAAAACTTGGAAATTGGTTAAAAATGATACAAACAAAAATATTCTGGATGTTAAATGGGTTTATACTAAAAAGTCTGATAATACTTATAAAGCTAGATTGGTTGTACGAGGTTTTCAACAAACTGATGAAATTGATGATATTTATTCACCTGTGGCTAAAATGCAAACATTAAAGATTTTATTGTCATATTGTTGTCAAATGGGCCTAGTAATTGAACAAATGGATGTTGAAACAGCCTTTTTAAATGGTAAAGTAATTTCTGAAGTTTATATTAAACAACCTAAGGGTTATGAAGATGGAACAAGTAAAGTTTGTAAATTAGTTAAAGCTTTATATGGTTTAAAAGAAAGTCCAAGGGCATGGTATGAGTGCCTAGATACATTTTTGATAAATTTAGGTTTTGAAAGAAGTAATATTGATCCTTGTTTGTACGTTTATAAAATTGGAAATGATATTATTTACTTATTAATTTATGTCGATGATTTATTGATTTGTGGTAGAAATTTAAATGAAATTAAAAGGATTAAAATTTTATTATCAGAAAAATTTAAAATGAAAGATATTGGTGAAATTAAAGAATATCTTGGTATTACTGTTGATTATGATTCTAGTAAACATGAAATGAGATTGGATCAAAATAAATATATTGAATTATTAAGGAAAAAATATAATTTAGAAAAAGGTAAACTGTATAATACACCTATGGAAGTAAATTTAAAAATTGATAAATCTGATCATTGTGAAAGAAATATTAAATATAAAAATTTAATTGGTGCACTATTATACATAAGTTCGGCAACAAGGCCTGATATAAGTTTCAGCGTAAATTATCTGAGTAGATTTCAAAATTGCTATAATGAAACGCACTTTAAATATGCTGTACGAATTTTGAAATATTTATGCTTAACTAAAGATTTAAAATTGTTTTATAACAGAAATGAAAAAGTAAGTATTATTGATTGTTATGTGGATGCCGATTGGGCAGGTGATCATTTAGATAGAAAGTCTACAACTGGTTTTGTAATAAGATTGTTTGGTAATGTAATTTATTGGAAATCTAGAAAACAAAAAAGCGTTACAAAAGCTTCAACTTTTGCAGAGTATGTAGCATTGTCAGAAGCAGTAAGTGAATTGATATTTGTAAAAGAATTGTTGAAAATATTTGATATTGAAATAATAAAGCCAATTGATGTTTATGAAGATAACACTGGTACAATTAGTATAGCTAATTATGGCAATTTTACAAAAAATTCTAAGCATGTTGAAATTCATTATCATTATGTAAATGATTATGTTAAAGCAAATGTTATAAATGTGGTTAAAGTAGATTCTGATGATAATATTGCAGATATTTTTACGAAGTCCTTGGGCCAAGATAAATTTGAAAAATTTCGAAGTATGTTAAATTTGAATTAATGTAAATACAATGTAAATGTAAGGAGGCGTGTTGAGAATGTAATACATTTATATTGTATACACAGATATATTGGTGTAAGAGTAAGCGGAACGCACCCATAGTGTCATGGGTTGACATGACAGACAATAATAGTAATGTCAATGAGTATCAAGTAGTTGTAGGTGGTAGTAAGAAGTATGGTGGCTTAAGTTAGGTTAGTTAATTAGTATGTATGTTATAGGAAATAAAGCCTTTTATAATAGTAGTAAAGTACGACTATTTATTTTCCAAATCCACACCTTAACAATTTTCTATGGTTAAGTTCTCGTGCTCTAATAAAATTAACGATGTTAATAACAGTTTTCATCAGGTCGTCTACTTCCGGTATGGTGGTACGTGCTGCGAGATTTTCTTGATGTATGATACAGTGAAATATTAACAAATTATTTATATCATATTTTTTTTTCAAAAGAGACATAAACCCAATATTATTTCCTGTCATAGACAGACATCCATCTGTACATACACATACAACTTTTTAACGTCAATACTATTTTTTTCCAAAAATGTACAAATAACATCAATGTAATCACTTCCTTTGGTATGACCTTTCATTGGATGAAATTTGAGAAAATCTTAACGAATTCCATAATCTTCAGTAAAGTACCGTACAAAAAGAGAACATTGTGAAGTTGATGAAACATCAGTGCTTGAATTAAATCCTAAACTCCAGTATTTACAATTCTTCAAGTCGTCGATGATATAATTAAAAATATGTTTCGAAATATCTTCAATACGCCTGACGTGAGGAACCTGAGAGTTGTAGTTGTCTGATTTGTGATATTATCTGAGTTTTATTGCTAAACTTTTCAAGAAAAATATTTGAAGCATTTTTAAAGCATTTCTTTACAATCTCAGCATCTGTAAATGACTTCATATGTTTTCCTAATAGCAAATTTCGTAGGACGCTCTCGTCACTGATACATTGAAACTGCCATTACATTTTGATGCTGCTGTAACGACCTTTTCAAGACGCATAGTTTTTCTCTTCGCAATGCAGAGTCGACTGGGAAACTATCGCTAAACATCTTGTGATTTGTATTATAGTGTCTCGTAATATAATACTTCTTTAAAATAACAATCTCTCGAGAAATCATACAAGTGGCTAAACCGTGTTTGTTAGTTACAACAAAATATTCATCTTCCAAATTATCTTGAAATAGTCTGTTTTCATCAGTTGTTTTACGTTTTGATTTTGAGGACACGCCAGCCATTGTCACTGTTTTAAATTCCCGGCAAATCAATTATAATTACAATTATTATAAGTAAAAGAAACACTTGACAAAATTTGAAAAAGACGATACGTGTGTAAACGGAAGTGCTAAATGAAATTGATATGTTCATATAATAATTGAACTGGTTCCAAATCAACATGAAATGCAAACATAGTATAACAATGTCAACTTCAGGAAATCCCCGGTTGAACACTACAGGGGCGGATCTTTTTATATTATAAATTAGACTTTGTTGATTAGGGAATTTTTAATAATATTTTTATAATGAATTACAAAAATAGCCCTCGGACCGCATAAAAAAAGTCCGAGGGCCGCAGGTTGAGTATCACTGGACTATATATTAGAGAATATTGAGAGTCACATTTCGAAGTACTCGAATTTTCTAGATTGCATATCCCCAAAGCATAAACTGATATTGACATTAAGGTAAGTAAAAATTAATTGTTTTAGAAACGTATATTTTTATTCACAAATTATGCAAAATCGTTTGGCAGAAAGTTGATTACATAACCTGCTGCAGTACCAACAATACAATTATTTAAAAAATTTGAAGCTGTATATAAGTTAGACTCCTTTGGTTCCTGTGCAGGCGTCAGTGGCTGTAAATACTATATTGACGTCTTACTATGTACCGGTGATGGAGTTGGGATCGAAATAAATTTACGAGAAGTTGATGGGTGATAACTTGCAGGTAAATAAACGGCTTCATGTTCCTGCATAACCAACTGTAAGATTTTGGATCTAAGGGATAGCTTTCTATAAACTGGTAGGGTTTGAATATATGGAATAAGACTTAGTAGAAAGTAAGTGTCATCCTGCTTATACCCGAAATGCTGCATAAAATGTTGCAATTTTTCTTTTTCAATATTCATAAGTCCTTGAATAGCGCGATCTTTAACAAGTTTTGCTTTTTTTGTGTAGGATTAATTGCGTTTGATTTTTCCTAATGTATTGCTGACCTCTTCTTATCATTGGAGGAGAATGGATTATTCGCAGTTTCTCTTTGTCGATTCCCTTTAGTCGTGTCATTGGAGAGGGATGGAGCAATTAAAGTTTCGCTTTGCTGGCTCATTCCACTTTGATTTTCTAGTTGGGAATGATCGTTAACCATCATTTTACTTAATGTTACCTCATCTTTCGTCTCATCATACCTAAGTTAAAGCTTCTTTTACCATTTTCAATGTTACCGCTTCTTTTTCTGGGTGTAAACTGATCCTTTAAAATTGCCATATTTTGAAAATAGTGCCACTTTGACTGTGGTTTATCATCTGCACCATCTCCATTCCTTTTTTGGTTAAGTTTAGAAATTTCCTTTCTGAAAGTGTCAAAAAAAATTATGAGTTTTTATTTTTTACCAACGTTACCAAAAATTATGAGTTTTGCGTGCTTTTGTTTTAGGTATCTTGCAACTGGCGCTTCTTTTAGATCATTGGCCTTTTCATTCGGAATGTCACATACAACTATTCGAAAAGTGGTTTATAAAACCTGTGAGGTAATATGGAATAGTTTTCACGAAAAGCATATGTCTTTTCCAAACCAATTAATGTTTTTGTCGATTGCTAAACAGTTTTATAGAAAATGGAAATTTCCCAGTTGTGTAGGAGTTATTAACGGAAAGCATATTAGAATTAAATGTCCTGCGAAATCCGGATCATTATATTTCAATTATAAAAAATATTTTTTGATTGTGCTTCAAGGTTTGGTAGATGCGCAATACAAGTTTATATGTATTGAAGTTGAAAGCTATGAAAAGCAGAGTAATGGTGGTATTTTGACTAGGTCATCACTGTACTACCATCTTGAACAAAATACATTTTGTTACCTAGACCTAAGATATTGACGAATACAAATATTATTGTTCCACACGTTTTCGTAGGTGATGCAGCCTATCCATTAAAGCACTATATAATGAGGCCTTTCTCTGGACAAAATTTGTCACAGGAACAAGAAAACTTTAATTACTGTATTTCTAGAGCAAAGTGCCTTTTCGAATGCGCCTTTGATATATTAACTTCAAAATGAAAAATTCTAAAAACGAAAATTGAAATTGCTCCTGACAAAGTCGATTTAATTGTAAAATGTATTTGATTAAGACACAATATAATTATTGATTTAGAGGGAAGCCCAGAGATCATTAAAGATATTGTGAACCTCCAAACAACAAGCCATAGAAACGTTGGAACACGAAATTTTAACAGGGTACTACTACTGCTTACGACATTAGAAACAAATTTATGCAAAATTTCAATACTAGTTAAAAAAAAATTCGAAATTGTTGTTATATTTTGTGTTAAATATAAAAAGCAAAATATTATTACCTATATCATAAAATTATTCTTAAATAAATATTAAAATGAATATACCTATCTCCTAGTTTCATTTGACTTGCTATTTCTTTCCATAATTTCTTGTTTAACTTTTTGTTGTGATACGGTTTGCTTTTTAGATCCCATAGGGATCTTTTTTGGTGCACTAAAGTTATTAGTACTTCGCAATCCATCTCAAAACACAAGAAAACGCGAGTTTTTCGTACGAACAACTATTAACAAACAAAATATTTTGGTCGTATTGAAAACACGTACGAACTTGTACGAATGGTCGCAAGCAATATAACCACAAGCATTTCAATATACCGGTTTGTTTATTTCTGACGATTTCGTACGAATGCGTGCAAACAAATTTTCGTACGAATTCTTATCCAATGTATCCGCCGCCTTAGTGGTAAGAATTCGACACTGCGACGCAGACGATTAGAGTTCAAAACCCACATGTGGTTTTCTTTTTTTAATAATTTGAAATTATGCAGAGATTGTTTTGATTTGAATCACTAAACATTTATGTCAGTCGTTACTAGTATTAGAAGTGTTTAAAGTTAAACATAAATATCTTTTTGAATTTGAATTATTTTGTATTTCCGTTTTATAACATTGGAATAAGAATAAATTGTAAATAATGAGTTTTTCGAAAACTTGTTACCTAATATGTATCATATTTTCTATTATTTTTTGATTGAGTAAAACAAAAATTTTATCCTTAACTCCACATACAATAACTGTTTTCGGACAGAACATACCTACCTTTAGTTTAGTCAAATATTTCAGTTGAGTTATTTTTATTATTAAATAAACTTAAAGATTTATAATTTAAAATCGCTACTAATTAATGTTTTTTGCTTTAATTCTTAATTTATTCAATCATTTATTCTTACATCAGAAATTATTAAAATAAAATATTTTCGCGGTCATCCGTATAATTATGACTGAAGTCAAATATATAGCCACGTCTAAGAACTAGCTTTATCTTATTCTTTCTCACAAAATCCGTCTTCTATCCTTTCCGATATTTTGCCGGGTTTTAAAGCGACTTTAAACACTTCTAATACTGTAATAACGTCTAAAGGTGTGAGACTATCGACGGTGGTAATGTAATCTAAATTATAGGTTTCTATCGATTATTTCCCACCTCTACGAGTTTCATCTCTTTTCATTTCACAAGGTAACTGTGTTTTCTATCTCTTACATTAAAAAGCCGGGTGGTAAAGCACTCATCACTGTATAGTTGTGGCTAACCCATATTTACTTACTTCAAATTGATATGCTTCAAGAATTTATATAATAATGAACAACACATATTTTGGAAGATCTGAGCGGATGTTAATTTCACATTTTTGAAAAAGAAGCTGTATACTATCTGTTGTACATATGTAACTATTCCATCGTATATTGCAAGAATAGAAGGTCGACCGTCAATATTTTTAGGACATCTTACTGTTCCAGTCTGCTTATATTCTTTAATTGTTCGGTGAACAGTTGAATTAGCAACACCTAAAATTAGCACATTACTTTAGTAAGTCTTGATTTTAACAATAACTATTCTGCAAAACTAACCTGCTCCTGTTTTGTTTTTGTTACCCTGGCTGTTATTTTCATTCCAGAATTATCGATTGTCATTATTTGTTTGTACACTTCCCGTCATATAAAACTGGTACACTTTTTTTCCCAATGTAAATCTGTGTTCAGAAATCAATTCGTTGTTGCCAATACAGATAACGGAATTGCACTAAATCTAAATAAAAAAAATAACGTTCAAACATGTATAAAATTGTTAGAGAGGTATTATTTTTATCATTAACATCCAAAAACCGTATCTAAGAAATTAAATAAGCAAATACAAGGTTGATTCATTGTCCAAAATGTTTGAAGGATTTTTAAACCTGTGGTATTGGCACAGGGAACATTGGAATGCATCTACTGTAATTTTATACTTCAATTACCTCCGAACACGAACTGTATTTTGTGTCAATAAGTTTAGTAACAAACTACCAAGATTAAATTATTATTTATTACAAAAACAATCAATGTAAAGAAATAACATTTTACTTTATCCTACGAAAACAATTAAATATCCGAGGCGATATTCAAAACTTGACAGTTTTAATCCAATATATCACTGTAATATTTTATTATAACAATTAGAAGTTTGTCTACATTGATTATCTGTCATTATTTTTGAATTGAACTATTTTCATAAATTGTTATAAAATACAAATCACTGTATGAGTACTTAATTGAGATGATGGAAAATTACAAAATTAATATGAGAATTTTTTTAGGATGCATGTTTAAACACATTTAAATGTGACTTATTGATCGAGAATGCTCGATAATGTTTTAGTTTTTAGTATTCTCACAACTGGCGGTCTGTCACACAGTCCTGCTTTTATATATTTTCGTTGAACTGGCAATGGTGCCCTAGAAATTAGAATGACACATGTGAAAAGATCAACGTACACAACTTAAAAAACGCGATTTTTGATTATAAGAATTGTACCAGTTTTTTTATGACGGGAACGGTACATATTGTTATCTTAATAACTCTAATATGTAGCTAAATAGTTCTGAAAAGAACTGTTTTTTTTATATAAATGCAAACGAAAAATGAAAAAATGTAAGGAATAACTCAGAAAATACAAAAAAATCGTTAATATAAATTTTGAAATTTAACAAATGTCATTAGTGTCAATATGTCATAATTTAGTGGAGTAAACTTGCCTGCTGTTGGACCAATTACAAACAAGCATTACGGCCCGTAAAATTTGAATTACTCCTCCTGGTTAAAAAAACAAACCATAGTAAAACAAGATGTAAATAGTTTAAAAACATTTATTTTCCTTATTTTAATTTTTACAAAATTATCAGTAAGATTATTAATGTCTAACTTTAATACAATGCGTGGCCCTCATTTTGGTCTTGCACCCTGCATTGTACTATCTAGGGCTCTTTTAGGCATCTTTCAGTCTCCATTCTCACAACATGACCAGCCCATCGAAGTCTCTGAAGTTTAACGAATTCTGAGATCGGTGTCTCTTTGAACAGTTGATAAAGTTATAGAAGTAATCTTTGTTTCCCTTTACTATTCTTCTTTGAATTTTTAGTTCCTCTGTTCCATCCGTGTTTAATGTAACTCCCAGATATGTGAAATACAGTTTCAATATCGTCCTCTAATTCCCCTAGATCTTGCCTGTGTTAGTTTTTTTGTCTTTTGAATACTTAATTCTCCCCCGGTCTCTTCTTCCCGTTTTTAATTGTGAATATATTTCTGCCGCCTCTTCTGTTCTGCGAGACATGATGCTAATGTCATCGGCATAGGCGGCAATCTGTATTGATTTATTGGTTAGGGGACTCTGTTCCTATATTCAGCTGTCTTATCACATATTCAACAGTCGGGTTGAATAGTGTCGATACTAGTCTCCTTGTTTTAATCCTTTGTTTAACACTAGCATAAAAAAGCTTATTTTGGCTCTCCCAAAACAGGTGCGCCATCCTGCCATGTATCCCTTGCAGGCCCCATATCGCCAGCCCTCACTACTCAAGCAATGAATAAATTGTCCTAAAAATTAGTCTGATCTCAAGTCTACTCAAGATACTATAAAGAAATATCCATTATGGATATTCAATAACGAATTTATGTTACTAATAAAATTTCAGATCATTATAAAGCTTTTTCAGCGTGCACTTGTTTTTTTTTTTAAATTTGATGCCTTAGTAGATTGTTTAAACAAATTTCACACTTGTAAATGCTTTCAGGCTTTGCTCCAATGTGCAATCTTAAATGTTGTTTCATATTGCCTACTTGACAAAAGTTCTTGAAACTCATTTCACACTTGTCAAGGTTTTTTCCCAGTCTGTATTCTCAAATGTCTTTTTAAATGACCCTTTCGAGAAAACTGCTTACAACAAATTTCAAACTGGTAAGGTTTTTCTTCAGTGTACACTATCAAATGCACTTCCTGTTTCACTAAATTGCTAAAACAAATTTCACACTGGTAACGTTTATCTGAAGTATGTACTCTCAAATGTATTTTCAAATTTCCTGATTTACTAAAACGCTTAAAACAAATCTCACACTTTTAGGGTTTTTCCTCAGTGTGCACTCTCAAATGTATTTTCAAATGACTTGCTGCAGTAAACTGTTTAAAACAAATTTCACACTTGTGAGGTTTTTCCCTAGTGTGCACTCTCAAATGTACTTTGAAACAACTTGATCTAGTAAACTGCTTCAAACAAATTTTACACTTGTAAGGTTTTTCTCCAGTATGCACCCTCAAATGCTTTTTTAAACTTCCTGATTCGCTAAAATGCTTAAAACAAATTTCACACTGGTAAGGTTTTTCTCCAGTGTGTAATCTCATATGACTTTTCAAATTGCCCTTTCCAGAAAACTGCTTATGACAAATTTCACACTGGTAAGGTTTTTCTTCAGTGTGTACTTTCAAATGCTGTTTTAACCTTCCTGTTTCACAAAACTGCTTAAAACAAATTTCACACTGGTTAGGTTTTTCTCCAGTATGCTCTCTCAAATGTATTTTCAAAATTCCTGAATTACTAAAATGCTTAAAGCAAATTTCACACTGGTAAGGTTTTTCTCCAGTGTGCAATCTTATATGTTTTTTCAAATTATTTGCTTGAAAAAAATGCTTAAAACAAATTTCACACTGGTAAGGCTTTTCCCCAGTGTGCACTCTCAAATGAATTTTCAAAGAACTTGCTGAAATTAACTGCTTAAAGCAAATTTTACACTTGTAAGGGTTTTCTTCAGTGTGCACTATCAAATGCGCTTTTAAACTTCCTTTTCTTCTAAATTGCTTAAAACAAATTTCACACTTGTGAGGTTTTTCCCCAGTGTGCACTCCCAAATGTATTTTCAAATAACTTGCTGTAGTCAATTGTTTAAAACAAATTTCACACTTGTAAGGTTTTTCTCCAGTATGCACTCTCAAATGCTTTTTTAAACTTCCTAATTCACTAAAATGCTTAAAACAATTTTCACACTGGTAAGGCTTTTCTCCAATGTGTACATTCAAATGGTTTTTTAAACCTCCTACTTGAGTAAACTGCTTAAAGCAAATTTCACACTGGTAAGGTTTTTCTCCAGTGTGCACTCTCGAATGTCTTTTCAAATGACTTTCTCTG